AATGTTAAATGTAAACATAGGAAGGAGGTTTTAATATGTGACCAAAAAATGTAACTTTATTGGATTTGGATTTTTCATTAGAGGTATATTATTGAATCATTATTCCATTGTGATACTATGGGTATCCACATCGAAAAAGAAAAGGTGGTTTTATCTAAATTTTAAGTTCTTATGTTTAATAGACAGCAGATGGTTCCTTTTGAAGTTTGGTCTTCTAAGCAGCATTCACTTTGACCAAAGAGGAACACAGAAATAAAGGAGTGGGTGAGGGATTTCTTGGAGACCAAGTGACAACAAAATGGGCCTTGTTTATTTCTGAGTCAGTCAGTTATGTGCCATACATGATACAGGCTTAGGCGATCATGTATTTTTCAATACATGACTGACGAGACAGATATTTTTTCCCACAGTAGGTTGCCATTTCTTTCTGCATTAGACCAGTTGCCATCCAAGGCTATAGAACCTGGTCTGTCTTGCTATTTACCCATAGCTGGGAGTGGGAAGAAGAGGAGGATTCATACCTTTCCCAAGGGTATTGGCACGTAAGTGAATGTAATGGATTCGACTGGAATTCAAACTCAGCTCTCCGATTCCTCAATCCGAGTCGCTATCCATTACTCCACCACTGAGTACTGGTATATATTAACAGTTATGCTTGGGACCAAAGAGTTAGTTCTGGTTAGCCTTTGGAAGGAAGATGGACTTATCCATTGCGTGGTTCCAATGTCATCCATTTGTATTGCCAGCTATATATTGGAATGTCTAGATGGGGGAGGAGTTGGTGGTTGAAAGAGCTTATTTATGAGATTCACATAGTTGTCCAATGTCACTTATCTACCCACCCAGCTGAGCTGACAAAGCCCTGAATAAAACGTCTACATATATGTGAAACAGGATTTGTGGTCTTATTTCTCAATGTGACGTTTGTCTTTCATTTTGTTACTTTGTGAGCTTGCAGCAGGCCTTTTATAACCCTGTCCCCTGTGTTGGTCTTCAGGTTCTTTCAGATCACTGTGGTTACCATCTAGTTGACGTCTCACTTGTTAACACATTGCTGATTGATCACTAGTATTGTGTTGATGAGCACAGTTCCACTTGATCTAGCTGGCGTTTGTCTCCTTCATGATCCTTCACTCTTCTGTCAGAGAATGAGAAAATTGTTGATGAAGTAAACAGAAGTGAAGAACAGGTTGACAGCAAGGAGCTACATAAAAAAAAAAAATTTTTGAAATAAAGAATCAACTCTGGTTAAAAATGTGACAACAATTTGGTGTATAGTGATTTTCCAAGCGTAGCTTAGATGTGGCCAAAAGTATGGGACACCCAGTGAGGATCAAACTCCCTATTCAGTCATAATTGTTCTAGCAAGACAAGCTTGCTAACCATTACACCGCCTCTAGGTGCCCAAATAGTGATTTTCCAAGCGTGGCTCAGATGTGGCACAAGGCCGAAAGTATGGGGTACCCAGTGAGGATCGAACTCACTACTCAGTCGCAATAGTTCTGAGAAAGACAAGCTTGCTAACCATTACACCACCTAGAGGTACCCATCAATTTGGTTTATATATGATGTATTGTATACAGCAGTTTTAACCCTTCTCACTGTTATAATCAAACAACAATGGGATCCCCTTTTAGAGTTTACAGCCTGTGTTAGAAGTAATTTAATTTATAAGTTCTGGTCTTCAGAGCTGGCACAAGGTCTTGCTCAGGTGATCTCAGCAAATGATGTGGATTCCAGTAGCAGTAATGTGGGGACACTTCAAGTTGTCCAAACTTCCAGCTTGTATGGAATTCTTCATCTGGCAGATGTGGAGTTCACCAGAGTCTGGGGTTCAGCTATCTTCCACCTTTGACATCAACCTTTTTCTAAAATCCGATATTTTCAAAATATGTTTACTTAAGTAATTTTCCAGATTTAGAGGTTGTTCCATCCCCTTTTGAGAGTGGTCAGAGGAATCAAGCCACCCCTTAACTCCAACTTTTTTCACATCTCATCATGCACCATCGCTACATATAGGCAGTGCTAATGTCTCTCTCCCTTCTCCCACTTTCTCAGCATCCAACCTCAGTCCACTCCAAGGGCTGGTACAACTGTCTTTGTGATGAATCTAAACTTTTAAGATATGTAGGTGGAAAGGGATTTCCAGTCATTAATCTTTCTTTATCAACTTGTCTCGCATTGGTTGTTTTAGGTGATTTCTTGATCAACCAGGCCATACAGCCAGTTGCGTATGGTCCAGGACTAATAATTTCATTTTTCTTTATCAGCTTATCTCCAAAAGAATCCAAAATAATGTTGGCCATAAAAATTTTGATGAATGTCACAGAAATTAAAATAATTGAATTCATTTCAATCTTAGATACTAATCTTTATTTTTTGTAGGGATATTTTTCTTCTGGGTTGGTTCAAACCAGATATTTTTCCTGGTTCTTTGTCCAGAACAATTTAGATGTTATTTCAGTGACCACCCATTTTCTTTATTGACAATGTATGTTTTTCTATTTTCCAGGACTGACATCTTTGAGATTTATATATGAAGAAATTAAGTTTTAAGGTGTGCTATATTTA